CGCTCGGGTTGCTGACATGATCTGGCGGCCCCATACAGACAGTCAGGTAAGTTGGTACGATTTGAGAACTCGGCCCGAAGTCTCAAATCGCACGCAGATGCCAGACTGTCGGTCCAGCCAGGCCAGGGCTCGTCCGCCCAGCCAGCCCGGGGACAAGAGTCTGGCGGCAGGTCGCGGGCGAGGGGCGCAGCGTCGGGCACCCCGAAAACGAAGGCCAGGGGCCCCCGCAGACGTTGACGAGGGCCCCGTTCGGGAATCTCAACCTGGCCTCGGGCGTCGGATCCGGGCATGGCTCTGCCAAGGATCCTATGCGGGTCCGGAGCTTGTTGGGAGGATCCTGTGCGACTCCGATGGGTTTTGAACGGGCTCGAGTGGTGGGAAAATGGCGTGTTTGGCACGCATGCTGTCGGACCACTGCACCCTTGTATAGTGTTAGTGGAGGGCAGCGAAGGACTCCGAGGACTACTTGCGCAGGTGCGCAGGGCTGGCGCGACAGGGTGGGGAGGCGGGGGTCAGACCCCGGTCGTGCGTTGATTCAGTCACGCTTCCCAGTCCAGGCGAATCGTAGCAGCTTTACCTGACTGTCTATAGGCAGGTGGGGGGCTCCCGCCCGAGATTTCCGCACAATTCACTCACAGACGAGGCTCCCGCTCAAGACTTCCTCCAGACCCACGCCTCAGGAGCCCAAGGGTGGCGACGATTATAGGATTTGGGTTGCCGGCTCGGGTTACTAACGTGATCTGGCGGCTCAAGAGAAAGGGACTCCCGCCTGAGACTTCCCTACGACCCACTCACAGACTAGGCTCCCGCTCGAGACTGTCTCAAGATACATGTTTGAGTGTGTGAGTGTGAGTGAGAATGTTCATGCGTGCGTGAGTGCGTGTGGGATGATGATGAAGGTGATTGTGCTGGTGGTGGTGGTGGTGATGATGATGGTGTGAGTGTGTACGGGTGAGTGTGTGAAAGGGTGCGGTGATGACGTTGCTGATGATGATGATTATGATGATGCTGATGCCGATGCTGATGCTGCGGATGTTGCTGATGATGGTGGTGTGGTGGCGAATGATCGTGATGTTTATGGGGGGAACGATGATGCTGCTGATGTTGATGATGACGATGATGCTGATTTTGCTGCTGCTGCTGATGATGTGTCTGGAGGGGAGGGTCCTCCTGATGTTCCTGTGCGGGGCGGTCCAGAGAAATCAATAACCCCACTTAGGATGTAGGAAACACAAATACGCACCTTCAGAATGTAGCCCACCGCGCTGCCTACGATACTCCTGTCCACCAAGGTCCGCTCGCCCCACCTGTCCGTCAAGGCCCGCCTGTTCGCGTGCTTGGAAGCCCTCCCGCTAGCTGTAATGCCCTGTCCGACCCGTCCGTGTTAGGGTCCACCCGCCCGACCTGCAAATTAGGGCCAGCTCGCCTGACCCGCCCGTCAGGGTCCGCTTGCCAAGCTTATTGCTCCTCTCTCCTCCCTCTCCTGCTAAATCTTCTTCGTCCTAAGCCCTCATCTCCTCCTCTTGCCCCCTTTCCGCCGTTCTCGTTCTATATTTTGTCCTCGCTCTCTCCCTGCTCTTCTTCCTTTTCCTCCCGCTTTAAGGGCCGCGTGAACTACACGCGGCATGCAAGGAACCTGGATTTCCTAACGGGGCACATCGAAGACGAGTGGGCCAGGCATCGACGCCTCGGGGTGTACAAGTAGAGTGACACACCAGCGCCGAATAACGAATAATATTACATCGTTTTTTGTTCGGTCTCTCTCTCTCTCTCTTTCGCTCCTGCTCGCCCTCCTTATCTCCTCGGGCCGCCCATTTCGGGCCCTCGCCTGGTTTTGTAGAGTTGTGGAGCAGCGGACTTCGACGTAGCTGGAGGGTAGTGGGGCGCGCTGGGGAAATTCCTCCTCACTCCCTCTCCCTCCTTCCTCCTTCTTCTCCTTCCGTTGTACAACTCCATATGAAGTGGGGCTGTCCAACCCTCGCCAGCACTGGCTTGCCAGGGTGAGAGCGTAAATGCCTCACCTGGCACATGAAGAGCTTCGCCTATTCTTAAGGGCACCCGCGCTGCACTACGATCCCTCCTCCTCCTCCTCCCTCCTCCTCCTCCTCCTCCTCCCTCATCCTTCCTCCTTCTTGCGTTGCACCTCCATGTAAAGTGGGGCTTCCCAGCCTTCACCAAAACCGATTTCTTCAAGAGTGGAAGGGCCCACGTGCCCCCCTCGACGCGTAAGGGGTTACGCCCACCCTGGAGGGCATCAGCGCTAAACTACAATCCTCCTCCTCCTCCTCCTCCTCCTCCTCCTCCATCCCCTTTCCTTATATAGGCAAGCGCGTCCCACTACTCGCAAAGTAACTGCTCGCAGATGGCCTGGATCCTCCGCGGGGGATCTACGATACATCACACCAAAGCGGACATGTGATATTCGGACGTTTGCGAGTTCTCACTTTGCGAATAATGGAGCGCGTTCGGTGATTATGAGCAGCTCCTCCCTGTCGCACCCCGAGACGGGTCGGTAAGGCGGGCCGGGCGTTTCGCCCGAGATTTCCTCATCATAAATGATCCCGAAGCTTGAAATTGTTTGCAACACGTTCACGGATGTAGGGCGGGCCGTTTTCAAAATGTGGCTCTCGCCTTAGCGCCGCACGCGTTCGTCTTAAAAGTTCGCACGGGGTTCACGGATGGAGGGCGAGTCGTTTTCAATCTGTGACTCTCGCCTTGGCGCCGCGCGCATTCGTCTTAAAAGGTTTGCAAGAGCCTCACTGATGGAGGGCGGGTCGATTTCAAACGTGGCTCTTGCCTTAGCGCCGCGCGCATTCGTCTTACAAAGGTTCAAAGGAGCTTCGCGCATGGAGGGCGGTTCCTTTTCAAAATGTGGTTCTCTTCCCAAACCAAGTTGCAATCGTTTCAAGGGTACTTCTGGTTGGCGTCCCAGAACTTGTGTTTTGGCACGATTCAGGATTGTCAGGTCGCTTCAGTAGCGTTGATTCGCGGCGTTGAATTCCCAGGAGGGGTGCGGTAGTACGGTTGAAGATATTCAGACGGTTGTCTTCCAACGGGGCTCTTCCCATAGTGCAGATAAATCCTTAGAGGACCCTATCAAGAGGGAGCTTGAAAAGGGGGGGTTCTTGAAACATGGATGATGAGTCTTGGGTTTACATGGGTCCTCCTCCTAAAGAAGCCTCTCGCAGAGGCAAGTATCTCGAGCCCGAGCTCGTCATTTAGTTGTGTGCACTCTCCCCGTCAAGGTACTCCGTTCCGTTCCGTTCCCCCCCCTGTGAAATCCATCTCGGGCAGGATACCTCTTCCAGGACGCGCCGCACAAGTTCAGAGCGGAGGCTGTGCCCTGCCAGGAGCGGCAGAAATCCACCCGTCCGCGGCATCGCGGCCCGCAACGCAACCCGCCAGGCCGTGGTGCTGATCCGGAGGCGTTCTCGGCAGCGCACTGGCGGGATGGGGCCGAGAGGGTGGCCCTCTTGGAAGACATGGGCTTCTCGGATGGGACCGGCTCCAGGCCGTGGAACACAATATTAATATTTGCATGCTGATGATGATGATGATGATGATGATGATGATGATGATGATGGTACTAGTGATTATTGCTATGATAAATAATGTTACGGATCATACTGTTAGGAACATTATTACTACTAATCCCAACAATCGTACTTAGAAGCTGAGAATAGCAATCCTACTCATATTATGAATACACATTTTAACACTATTACGAATAATAATATTACGAATCTTAAGCAGACAATTCATGTTACCAATACTTGGCATACTACTCATAGTACTGATAATAAAAGACAGCTGCACAAACATACGCTCAGAGTTAAGAGGATCTTTAGTCCAGACAGCTGATTTTACTCCAAGTGCGCTCTTGAGCAGTAGTCCATGCCTAGATCTACAATTTTACAAAAAGCCCCGAGACAACGCCCAGGCTCCAGCCCAGATTCTTGACCTGCCGAAGCGAAATCTGGAGTGTGTGAACGTTGCGCAGGCAGCGCTCGCCGTGGAGCCGAGGTGCCCAGGAGCCCCCACGGCTGGAAGACGAGCAGGGCGTCGGAGGTCTGGGGCCGTGGCGGAAGCCGACGTGGCACGCCGCACGGGCGGCGCGATGGAAGCTGTCCGGCTGAGGGGGGGAGACGGGTGAAGTGGGTCCCGAGGGACACGGGCCTTGCAGTTAAAAGGAAAACTCAACAAATACTCCCAAATAGTCAAATATAGCCAACAAAATCGTTCCCCGACTATTGTTGGACTCTTTTTGAATATTCCTTCTGTGAAGGGACATGCCCGACTCAACCCTGAAGGTTTCTTGCCGGTTTCGGGCCCTCAGGGCCCTCCACAGCCCCAGGGCCTGTCGGAAAACGGCTCAGGATGAAGATCTCGCTCTGGGGGAACCCTCGGGGTCCAGGATCCGTTTCCCTCAGGACCCGCTTTCCCCCATGCTAAGGGAGAGTAGGACGAAGGAAAAACTCGGAGGAGGAAAAGGAACCGAAACTGCAACCCTTGCCTCGTTTTCGCCTTTTTGGGCCTCCTGGGAGGCCCTCGTCACCACCGCTGGATTCGCCTCGGAATTCTGGTCAGAAGGTGCCCAAGGAGAGGCCCAAGGAGTAGCGGTATCGGTACTTTTTGGTTTCCTCAGGTGAAGTAACACCGGCACCAGGATTTCCAAGGCGCTGGGGAAAGGCCTCGTGGTGGTGTGGTGACGCTATTTTTCTGCGCCGCTTTCGAGAAATCTCTGGACTCTAGCTCGGGGAGGCAGCGTGGACTTTCTGTCCAGTGGTGGTCCTGCTGGTGGTGCTGGTGTCGTTCGTCTTTCCTCCGAGGAACTGGGGTTGGGGTTGGTGATGGAGCTGGAGATTGGTCTCAGCGACGCTACGACGGCTTCACCCTGATCCAGATGTTCCCTCTACTTCTGGGTGGAGTCATCATCATCCACGGACTCCTGGCTTTCGAAACGTTCCCACGCTTTGCTCTCCAAATTCCAACTGACATGATCAGTGCCATCGGGAGCACCCTCGTTCGGCACCGTCGCAACGGAGAACTGGTTTGGCAGCCACTGTCCCGACATGCCAAGGTACATGTCTCCGAAGTCCCTCGGGCATTGAGCATCCCGCTTGAAATAACCTTCGGCGATGTTGTTCGTGTAATGGAAGCCCATCATCCAGAGCTTTTGCGGCTCAACATCCGCCACCGTGCAGCAGGCACTGAACGGAGCATCCTCAGTTCCCTTCGAGTTCTGTGTTGAAAGTTGCAAATGCTCTTTGAGGGGCCCAGGGCCTGGGATTCTGGGTGCTCGCTTGCGGGATGGAGAGACGGAGGAGAGGGGGGTCCCCCGACGAACTTCCCAACGCACCTCCGGGGCCCTCGGAGCCTCGAATCCCAAGATGGCCACGAGCAACAACAGCCTTTGACTTTCCAACCGCTCTTTGATACTTTCGCGCTCGTACCCTTCTGGGCTTCTGCAGGGCGTAGGCGGTCCGCGAGGCCCCCGCAGGCGGGCACACCCCTGCCCCAGAAGCCCCCCCAAAAGGCCCCCCAAAAGGCCTCGAAGACGACCGGTAGGCCTCCAGGAGGGCGAGAGGCCCAAATTCTGCCCCCAGAGCCCCAAGAAGTCCCCAGGGGCCCTGAAACGTCTCCCACGAGGTCGCCCCAGAGGCTTCCAAGAGGTCCCCGAGAAGCCCCGCAACAGGCGTGGAGGAGGACAAACCAGCAGCTACTGCACGCAGGCAGCACGCCGGACCAAAGGGCAAACAATGCACGCGAAATCGGGCGCCGCGCATTCTCTCTTCTGGGGTCGGCGGAATGGTGTACTCCTCTTGCACCTCACAGCTGTCTTCGGCCCCGGAGAGAGAAACACGAAGTGGCTCGGGGAGCGCTCCAGTGCCAGGAAGGCACCCGAGACCGCCGAGATGCCTCGAGAAGCCACAACGAGGCCCTAGGAGGCTTTCAAGAGGCCCCCAAGAGGCCTCCGAGAGGCGCCCACGCAGAGGCATCCCAAGAGGCATCCAAGAGGACTCTGGCCCGTAACCCAGGCGTGGTGGCGGGATGGTCCGAAGGCCACTATATCCGTCGCCCCCTGTTGATTCATCACAAGGGTGCCCAGCGTGCTAGATCCTTTCGATTCTGGTTTTGGTTCTTTTCCAAAAGAGCTTCCCCTGGGGCTTCGGCCGATCCCGCCGGGGTCCCGGAAAGGCCCCGCAACCACCTCAACGACCGCAACACAGTTTTCAAGACGGCTCAAGATGGCCTCTAAGATGGTCACGTTGGCCCGAGATGGCCTCCAAGATGGCCCAAGATGGCAACCACGTCGCCAAAGATGGTCCAAGATGGCTTCCAAGACGGCCCGAGAGAGCCCAAGATGTCTTCAAGTTCGTCCAAGAAGCCTCCAAGACGGCCCAAGATGGCCTACGACTGGCCAAGAGGCCCCTAAGAGGCCTCCAAGACGTCCTCCAGGAAGGCCCCAAAGGGCAACAATCATTTATTTTCCTTAGGTTTTTGAAGGATTTTGGCGTTTTCTTTTTATCAGCTCTCCGACGGCCCAAGACGGCCGAAGAGGCCCCCAACATCGCCCCAAGAGCGCCCAAGAGGCCTCCACGATGGAGCCATAACAGCCCAAGAGGCCCCCAAGAGGGCCCCAAGAAGAGCCCAGGAAGGTCCAGGATGGCCCCGAAGACGCCGAAGATGACCTCCAAGACGGCCAAGATGGCCTCCAAGATGGCTCCAAGACGGCCAAAAAGGCCTCCAAGACAGCGAAGATGGCCCCAAGATGCACCCAAGACGGCCCCAGATGGCCTCAAGATGGCCTTAGACTGCCCAAAAGGCCCGCAAGAGACCTCCAAGACGGCCCAAGAGCCCTCCAAGACGGCCTCCTGGAAGGCCCGAAAGCTCGGAAACCACCTGGTCCGATAGCTCGCCCGACTCCGTGTTCCCCGACAGCTTTCGAAACCCACTCGGGGAACGCGTGGCCCGATAGCTTGGCCAAGCTCAAACCCAACTTTCGGCCACGCAAGCGCTTCCAAAAAGGCAAGGGGCGGCGGTGATTCGCCGTAGGCGTCTTCGATAGTACATATACAAAGGAGGTCCATCCTTTTTGTTAATGTTTACATAGATCGGCTTCCGACCGTTGTACTCCGTGGGCTTCATGGTCGTCCTCACGAAAGTGCCAGACAAGTCTGGTCGAACAGGAAAAGTAAAATTCAAGCTCGCGACACACTCTTTGCAACTTTCTGTGTCTTGCGTCGGGTCGAACGGAGTATGGCAACATTCTCCAGTCTGCTTCAGCACCGTCTGAAGCTCTTTCGTGAGATACTTTGAGTGCTTCCTAATGTCGCAGTAGTACGCAGACCATTTCCTACAAGAGCCGAAGTTCTTGCCCGTGCAAGCGATTTCAGGTGCTCCAGGGCGACGGATAATTTCAAGCCTCCTCCTGACCGCATTAGTGGGCTTGGGGTAGCCCGTGAAGTGAGAGATGACGACATCCTTGGTGCAGTGGAACTCGCATTCTTTGCGTAAGCCTGGCTGGACGCCTACAATGTCGACGCAATTGAATTCGCGAGGGACCTCGACGATCTTGTCCTTGTAGATTGCGTTCACTAGCTCCTGGTCAAGAATCTTCTCCCGCGAGCTCTCGGTTACCATCTTAAGCATGCTTTTGAACACGTCCAAGTTTGGCTTGAAGAGCATTACTCCGCTGTTGAATTGATCCTTGCAGCCGTCCTTCGCCATCGCGATGTGCCCGTCGGGCAATGTTGTCTGGGTCAACAGCTCCTGGATCCGATCGTTGAATACGTACGTATCCGAATCTAAGAACAACACCTTCTCGAAAGGCAGCCTGACAGCAGTGGTTTTTCCATGAACAACTCAGGTGTTAGAAGTCCCCGTCTGCCCGCCAACCGCTCTACCATAAGCGTCACGCTTTTCCCCAACCGAGACCAGACATGACATAACCCCCTCTGATTTCACGGTCGTGCTTCCCAAGCCGTAGACCGCCCCCCCGCCCCCCCCCCACCCCGAAAACAAGCGAGACTGGTCATGAGGAACTCCCCTCTCCGTACAAGATGGCTGTGTCCTTGGCAGCCCTGTGTGGCACTCCTAGCCAGCGGAGTTCACTCAAGAAGCGTTGCTGCACTGCTTCGAACGATATCGGACAGGAAGAACCCCATTGTGGTGATCCTGGTCGTGCCGGCTTCTTGAAGGGCAAGATCTGCCATGGGGGATCCGTCTCGGTGCATCTACTGATGGCCTCGGCGGCGTGTGCAATCCCATGGCTGTTGCTCGGCTTGCGCTGGCTCTGCTTTCTCGTCTAGCTCGAATGATCGAGTGAGGGTGGCAACCCTCGAGACAGTGCTTGTGCTGACATTGTGTTACCCGTCTGAGCAGGAGTCGACCAAGAAACACATATAGACACACAAACACACACACTTAAGAGGTCTGGAAGGAATCATGGTATCGGTGCCATAATCCCCCTCCCTGGCGGCAGCGCTGGAGGCGCCGCCAATGGGTCCCAATGCCGATGTAACACAGTGGAGGCCAGTCCACAAGAAACCTTCCCACAAGAAACCCAACCTTGAGACCCCATGGCGTCCATTGATTTTGGTGTGGGGACGGCACGCTTTCCGTAGCAAAACCACCGAAGCCCAAGAAACCCAGGACACCCTGGAGGCAAGCAAGGTGTTTCTTGGCATGGGTCTCCACTGTAGATTCGCGCGGACCTCCGGATAATCATGTTTTTGCCGTCTCTTCTTATCGAGCTGCAGCAGAAACTCGGATTGCCCCGGCACGGCCCCAGCAGCTCCTGCCGCTGGCCTCCTGACTAACCCCTGCCACCAGCGCGCCATCGGCCCCCCATGCCGTCGGGCAGCCTTGGAGGGGCCCAGGCACACACAAATACACACAAATCGTATGATTCCCAGAGTCTTTCCCAATAGTTCTTCCTTTCGTCTTCCCCCCGCTTCCCTCATTCTCCCATCTTTTCGTGGAAGTCGACGTTCAATTGTGTCTGTGTATTTTTTCCCCCTCCTGAAGCCTCATTTCCTCGAGGAGGGGAAGGAGAAGGAGCCAACGCCAAAAAGGAAGGAGGAAAGACTGCCCTCCTGTCGTCCCCAACCACGGGCTGCCAGGCATGCCAGTCATCGGGACCACCTCAAAGTAGCCACTGCGTCTTGCGAACGCCTGCGAATTCTGGGAAACCCATAAGTCGCCAGAAACACCTAGGGAATCTGGCGACCTATGGGTTTCCCATAGTTCGAAGTTATGGGAAAACAATAGATGGACGACTGCCACCAGTAGCCCCCCCAGTCTGCCAGGAGTTCTGACTCCTGGGGCTGGCACCCCACGGGTCCCTGCCACCAAGCCCGACTGGCCCTTGCCTTTTGGCCTGCCACCCTGGCTTGATGGTAAGTTCAATCTCGGGGACTGGCCCCCGCCGGTCCCTGTCTGTGGTTCGCACTGGCCCCTGCCCCTGGCATGCTGATGCGTGTTGCATTTCTTCTTGCTGGCTGGTATGATTAGCAAAGTCTTCGAATGGCGACCCCCACTTGCTCGCACCCATGCGTCAAAAATTGTCTGTTGTCCTTTCCTTCCTGGCGCCTGAACAGCCCCAAGACAAACCAGGGAACTTCCAGGTCGACCCAAGAACACCTCAAGACGGCTGCAACACGCTCCCAGACAATTCCGACACCCATGCCAAGGGAGCTTCAGATGCCTCCGAGTTGCGCCCAAGGCCCTCTTTTGACGTCCAGACCACGGACACACTTGTCTAAGACGGCTCCAACACGCTTCAAGACAGTTCTGACACCCATACCAAAGGAGCTTCAGATGTCTCCGAGTTGCGCCCAGGGCCCTCATTTGAGGCCCAAATCATTGACACACCTGACTTTGTTCAATGATGCGTAGTCGCTTCCCGAACATTGAGATCCAATTATATCCGAAAATCTCTAGGACTGCCCCACATGAACGCAGCAAGCCGCCAAACTACCATCGAAAGTCGCACCAAGAGAGCTTCAAGATGGCCTGAGGACCCTCTGACACACTCCCAGATCGATCCCAACACGGGCCCAAGACCCGACCCGTTGACCCCACCTTGATTTTACCAAGCCTCTTCGGGGGAGCTCGGTAGAACAACCGCGCCCAAATCGCCCCAAGAGCATCATGAGGTCATGGTAGGTTTGTGGGATCATGGTATTACCAAGCCTTGGAGGCCAATTCAAGTTGTGCCAGATGTTTCAAGGTTTGCTGCGTCCCATGCATTCGGCAATATTTGGCATGAACGAAACTTGATGGGCCCCAAAGAGGACTTTGCAACGCCCCCGCCCAAATTGCCCTAGACGCCCTCATAGTGTGCACAATGATCTGCCCAGATGGCCCCAACATAATTCTACCGAGCCGCGTCGGCAGTGGGCATACTCGCGCACACATGTGTCCATGAATGTACATACATGCGCATGCGCAAGTGGTTAACTAACGCGCACATGTGGTACATAAAAATCAACGTTGTTATAGCGCAACCTGAACACGTTGATCTTCTCGAAAGAGTCGTGCCAACGGGTTAAGAACCGCAGGTCGCAATCCTCTCCGCAATAATCTCTGTCCCAATTCGGGACGACCACCAGCTTCCAGCCAGCCTTCCTCAAGGTCTCTTGGTGCTTGTCCTTCATATTCTCGATCACGATGGCCACCATCATGTATCCCGGCGCGTGCTCTTGGATTGACCTCCCCAACAAGACCGCCCCGTCAATGTAGTCCATGTTTCTCTTGCCTGCGAACGTGACGATAGCTGTCTTCTTCTCAGGGGTCTTAATCTTTGCGTCAAGGGCAATCATGTGCGAGACGTTCTGCACCCATGGGATGGTCAGGTAGTCCTTCTCTGGTGCCGCTTGGGTGTCCGATTGCTTCGTGGCAAAGCGGACGCCGTTCTTGGTGGCCATCAGGGTGATCCAGCCGGGGGGGTTCGCGATGCGGGCGCGCCGCCTGCCATCGTTCAGCTCTGCGGCCACCTCGAGGACGCTCACCACCTGCTCCAGCGCCACCTCCCCCACCTGGTTGCGCGATCATCGGCCCCGAACAAAAGCAACATGCCTGCCTGCCCATGCAAGTGCACGTTGCGGCGTAGAAGAATGCCGAGGGCTGCCTAGTAGAGCGTCTGTATCATATTCAAGCCCCTGCCAACATCTCGCCGCATGCATGGCCCCCCTCCTGAGGCCATGGCCCCTAATGTTATGTTGTTATCATCCCACTTGAGGACCACATCCCAGAACTAATTTCGAGCATCTGGAGCAGTGTCAAAAGAGTGTCGAAATAGTGTCGAAGCAGTGTCGGACGAGTGTCTCCCAGGGCCCGACACGTGAACACCTTGAGTTTGTGGGTATTTTTCTGGCGCTCGTAATTCTTTCTGGTGGTCAAGGCTAAAGCAGGTTGGAACATCATAACCCTGGTGGAAAACAAACGGCCCGCGCTTCCGAGGCCACGTTCCCTCGAACAGAGCTGTGGGTCCGCGTCCCGAGGCTCTGAGACGGCCCATGCAGGCAGCCAAGGGCACCAAGATGGCCCGAGAGGCATCGAAGACGGCCCAAGTCGGCCCCGGGGCGGCCCAATATGGCCCCAAGACTGCCCAATATGCATCCAAGAGGGGCCACAAAGGGCCACACTATGACCTCCGACAAGGCCCGCAGAAACCAAACTCATCGATGCCCCTTTGGTTTTGAAAGCGTTTCGCATTCTCGCCGTTCTGGACTTCCGTCAGCTCCAGACGGCCCAAGAAGCCTCCACGATGGCCCAAGAGGTCGCCAAGAGGGTCCCAAGATGGCCCAAGAGGTCCCACGATGGCAAAAGAGGTCCTACGATGGCCCAGGAGGCATCCAAGACGTCCCACGAGGGCCTCCCGTGGGACCCAATACGGCCTTAGAAAACCTTCGGACGCCTTTTCGACGGCCCAAGACGGCCCCCCAGACACCCACGATACGCCCAAGAGGGCCCCAACGATAACCAAAGAGAATTATAAGACGGCGTCAGAGGGCCCCACGACGGCCCAAGAGGGTCCCGAGGATCCCGAAGGTTGCCCCACAGGAGGCCAAGACATCCCAAAACGGCTCACACGAGTTCCACGGGAGCTCCTAAGATGATGACGCCGAATGTGTCACATGTGATTGTCTTCCTCCTCCTCCTCCTCCTTCTCCCGTTCCTCCTCCTCCTCCTCCACCTCCTCCTCCTTCTCCTCACCATCCCCATCGTCATCATCCCCATCATCATCATCATCATCATCATCATCATCATCATCATCATCATCATCATCATCATCATCATCAGCATCAGCATCAGCATCAGCATCATCATCACCATCAAACTCACACTCATCATCATCACCACCATCATCATCATCATCATCATCATCATCATCACCATCACCATCGCCATCATCATCATCATCATCATCATCACCATCATCATGATCATCATCATCATCATCATCATCTTCATCATCATCATCATCATCTTCAACATCATCATTATCACCACCACCATCATCACAACCATCATCGTCACCCCTTATCATCATCATTATCACCATCATCATCATCATCACAATCACACTCAACATCATCAGGACCAGCAGCACGGTCACCATCATCGTCATCGTCATCATCACCATCATCATTCTCCTCATCCTCATCCTCATCACCACAGCCATCAGCATCATTATACTCATCGTCATCATCGTCAGCATCATCATCATCATGATCACGCTTACCACCACCACCATCACCATCACCACTTTGATCACCATTACCATCACGCTCATCATCACCATTATCATCGGCTTCATCAACATCACTGTCATCATCATCATCATCATCATCATCATCATCATCATCACCATCATCATCATCATCAACATCATCGGCACCATCATCATCGGCACCACCGTCATCATCATCATCATTAGCATCATCATCATGCTCATGCTCATCACCACCACCACACGCACCATCATCTTCATCCTCATCCACATCCACATCCCCCTCGTCATCATCAGCATCATCAACATCATCAGTATCAGCATCGACACCACCACCACCATCATCACCACCACCACCATCACCATCACCATCACCATCACCATCACCATCACCATCACCATCACCATCACCATCACCATCACCACCACCATCATCATCATCATCATCATCATCATCATCATCATCATCATCATCATCATCATCATCATCATCATCATCGAAAGAACGTGTTCTACCGCTGCTGGCGGAAAACCGGGGGAGTCACTGGGGGTTCCCAACCCGTCCCCCCCACCCGTTGAGAACGGGGGGGGGGGTCACTACCGGTGCGAACCCCCCCCTCCCCCTCCCCCTCCCGTCCATCATGAAAAAGGGGGGGCTCACTAACAGTTCGACCCCGCCCCCCCTCCCTCGCCGCCGGCAAACGATTCCCGCTCCTCGGGACAGTGGGACAGTGGTGGGGACACTGGGACAGTGGTGAGGACGGTGGTGGTGGGGACAGTGGTGTGGGGACAGCGGGACAGTGGTAGGGACAGTGGGACAGGGGTGGGGACGGTGGTGGTGGGGACAGTGGTGAGGGGACAGCGGGACAGTGGTGGGGACAGTGGGGACAGTGAGACAGTGGTGGGAACTGTAGTGGTGGGGACAGAGGTGAAGGTGGTGGTGAGGACGGTGGTTGGACAGCGGGACAATGGGGAGTGGTGGGGACTGTGGTGGGGACAGTGGAACAGCACAGTGGGACAGCGGCGGGGACACTGGGGACAGTGGGACAGTGGTGGGGGCAGTGGGGACAAAAGGACAGTGGTGGGGACAGTGGGGAGAGTGGGACCGTGGTGGGACAATGGTGGGGACAGTGGGGACAATAAGACACTGGTGGGGGCACTGGTGGGGACAGCGGGAACAATGGTGGGAACAGTGGGGACACTGGGACAGACGGTGGTGATGGGGACAGTGGTGTGGGGACAGTGGGACAGTGGTGGGGACAGTGGGGACAGTGGGACAGGGGTGGGGACGGTGGTGGTGGGGACAGTGGTGAGGGCAGTGGTGAGGACGGTGGTGGGACAATGGGACAGGGGTACAGTGGGGACAGCGGTGGGGACAGTGGGGACAGTGGTGGGAACACTGTGACAGCTCAGTGGGACAGCGGCGGGGACAGTGGGACAGTGGGGACAGTGGGACAGTGGTGGGGACCGTGGGGAAAGTGGGGAGAGTGGGACCGTGGTGGGAACAGTGGTGGGGGCACTAGAGGGGACAGTGGGGGCGGTGGTGGGAAAAGTGGGGACAATGGTGGCGGGGACGATGGTGCTGGGGATAGTGGCGGGGGATGTGGTGCGGACGGTGGTGGGGACCCGGGAGTCGTTTGCCGGCGGTGAGGGGTGGGGGGTGGGAGGGGGTTCGAACCGGTAGTGACCCCCTCCGATTTTCTGGAGGGGGGGTTCGAACCGGTAGTGACCCCCCCCGGTTTTCAGGAGGGGGGGGGGGGTCGAACCGGTGGTGACCCCCCCTGGTTTTCTGGAGGAGGGGGGGTTAGGGGTGGGGGGGGTTTTGCCGGGGGAAGGGGGGGGGGAGGGGGGGGGTCCAGCAGGGAAAGGATTTTCGAACGGGGGGGGGACCCCGCGGGTTCCGGAGGAAGAGGGGGGGGAACTTTTCCACAGTAAAGCGGCGGTGGATCACGCTCTCTCACATCATCATCATCATCATCATCATCATCATCATCATCATCATCATCATCATCATCATCATCATCATCATCATCATCATCATCATCATCATCATCATCATCATCATCAGCATCAGCATCTGCATCAGCATCAGCATCAGCATCAGCATCATCATCATCATCATCATCATCACCATCACCAGCATCAGCATCTGCATCAGCATCACCATCAGCATCAACATCATCATCATCATCATCATCATCATCATCATCAACTTCATCCTCATCACGGCTCTCCCACCCTGGAACAGTCGCCACTCAGAATGCTGGGGTGGTACGGTGGCGGGACCTGCCGCAAGCAACTGGACAAATGGACATTCCTGTCGCTGTGTTCTAAATCATGGGCCACGTCTTCATCGCAGAGCGGGGGGGGGGGGCTGGGAAGGCACATGCCACTCCTTGTGAAACACCTGGCCCCGATTTGTGGCCGCCGCGATCGCCGCGGCGACCTCCGACATCGACCTGGAGGTTAGGTTCGGGGTCGGATGTCGCGCAACGACCACCTTCGCGCTGGTGCGGTCATAGTCCTGGCTCACGGGGAGCGCCTTCAGGGTGCCTGCCGAGACTACGCGGTAGGTCCCAGGTCCGTCGTCCTCCGCCTGCCCAGCGTCAGCACTCTTCCCTGCTGCACCACGGATGGTCATGCAGTGGCCGGCAGCAACAATGCTGATGAGAACCCATCCCAAGAGTTGCGAAGAAGCCGTCATGCCTTGGAAGGATACGGTCGCGAATGATACGATGAATATGTGTAGGCTGTCGCCCAGGCGAGTCTGTGTCTGCCCGCTGTGTCGGTCGAGCCATATGCAGAGTAGGAGCAGCACAGTAGGGCAAGTATCGACTGGATCGGTCGCATGCGGCTACTCAGTTCACTCTTACTCTCCTGAACTTATTTTGCATGCCAGCTCGGTCGCGCGATTTTCCTACAGTGTGTCAATCATTGCTGCTGTTCTGCAAGTATTCGCTACCTGCGTGCCAGAGGGGACATCTCTTCATTCGATATCGAATTTCGACCATCATATGAATTAGCAAGTACAATCGTACACACACACACACATACATGCACGCGTGCACATACACACATGCGCGCATACACCTACGTGCACTCCAACGCTCAATCAAATACTTGCATGCGTACATTTCCGTCGGCGAGTGGGTATGCATCAACTCGGCTGGTCGAGTGCCACTCGCCTCGTGGACCGATCACCAATTCAACGGCATTGAAAGCGGGGGAAGAGCAACTGAAAAGAACACGCCGGATTACGCGAACCACCGTCACTTCAACCGTGTTCGGTCGGACACCATGCCTGTCGCAAGGACCCAGGAGAACGCAGATAATGGCGAGCTGGCCGCGGCAGCTGTTCTCACACACATACGCGCCCACGCACGGACATTCGCGATCGCACACTTTTCACATCGCGCGCCGTTGCCCCGCATTTGGCGGATGAGCAGGTGCCCTCTGGCTTGCGGCGGATGTGCGCCGACCACTTGAAGCTTGCGCTCGAGAGTTTTGAGCGGAATGTGAGACACTGGCAACACCGAACCAGGTCGCATACAGTCGAATACTTTTTCCCCACGTCCTAAGTGGGGTTCTTGTTTTCTCTGCACACCCCCCCACAAGGAGGAGGAGGAGGAGGAGGAGGAGGAGGAGGAGGAGGAGGAGGAGGAGGAAGAGGAGGGGCAGGAGGAGGAGGGGCAGGAGGAGGAGGAGGAGCCAGAAACGAGGAAAGCAACTACTGCGACGCCTCGCGGAGGTAGCTGCAGAAAGCCCCAAGATATTCCTGAGGGGCGAAAAATCAGCGTCGAATGCGGTTCTGGAGGCGATGGAGAGCGTGGAGGGCACGAGCTCGCACCGGGAGGGGCGGCTCCCCGTCCCATTCAGCTGGGCCACTGCTCGACCGCATGCGCATGAAAATTGAGCGCCCAAGCCGCATATCCACAGCAAGCCAAGTAAAGTTGGCAGCGAAAATGATGCGAACAACCGTGCGCCGCGCGTAATGTTCAAGGCTGTCCTCACAAGCGCCGCAACCGAATGCGCACCTGCCTGTGCCTTGCAAGCGGCGTTGGGTGCACCGCCCGTTGCAAATTGTAGGCTGCTCCTAATTTCGGCGCCGTTCTGCGTTCCAGAAGCCCGAATGCCTTCGTGGCGCGTGCGGCCCGATGCCCAGGCGGCGTGCTCATCCGCCAGCCGGCCAGCCGGCGTCGCGGGTGCAAGTGCGCCGAACGCCGGGGCACGGTGCGAAAAAGTGAAGCCGCGCGCCCCCCTGCCGTCCCTGCCGCCGCAGGTCTGGCAGAATCTGGCCATCGCTCGGACGTCCATTTCCTGTGTTTTTTATGGTTTCGTGCGTGTTTTTTCGCCAAATGGTCTAGGATGCTCCTCGAAGGTCCTCGCCGAGAAAAAAATGCACACGTCCGAGCGATGCCAAGAAATGTGCGCAGAGGGGGTCGGCCGTCTTGGCGCGCAGGGCGCGGTCGGCCGCCGCCAGCTCCGACAGGAAACTCTGCCCGGCCCGCTGCCCCCACCAACCCGCGCAGCTGGAGCGAGCAGCTGCAGCGCGCGGCGGGGGGCAGCGCGGCAGCGCGCGCCTGGGCGTGGACTGCGCCGTGAGCCCGCTTTCAAGAATTGCGGCTCTCCCGCCTTGGCGGCAAGCGCCGCCGCGGCCAACATCTGCTTCCTCCTCCCTCCTCCCTCCTCCCTCCTCCCTCCTCCCTCCTCCTCCTCCTCCTCCTCCTCCTCCTCCTCCTCCTCCTCGGCCTGGTCCCGCTGAGAACCCCTGGCCCCCGAGAACTTCGTCGTTGTGGCCGCGGTCGTCGCCGCCATGCTGGGTCGGCGGCGCCAACCGTGAGGCCGTCGCAATACTTCAGGGCAGCCTCCATCCGAACGCCGGCCCCTTCGGGCGCCCCGTCCGCCACCTGGGCGCGCCACTCCTGCTCGTCGTGCCGGCGCAGGGGCACGAGGCCGGTCTTCCGGACGTGTCAGGGCGAACCCGGGCGCATTGGGCAGGAGGCGGGGCGGCGGGGCGGCGGAGGACGAAACGAAAGACTGACGACGACGACGCACTGAGGCCGCCGACAGCTAGTCTTCGGGGGGGAAATGCCGCCGCTGGGCCGCTCCCGAAAGCGGCCCAAGACGGCTCCAAGACGGCCCGAAACTGCTCCAGAACCGCCCAAGAGGCCCCGAGACGGCCGAATAGGGCCCCAAGAAACCCTCGAGAGGCTCCCGATGGGGGGCAACCGTAACCGACAGTTCGAGCCTTCCGCCCCAAGAGGCCCCCCCAGGAGGCCCCGAGAGAGCCCCGAGAGAGCCCCGAGAACAATCCCAGGTGCACCAAATTTTTTCCTGGAAATTTTTGGATGATTTCGGCGTCGCCGCCGCCGCCGCCGCCGCCGCCGCCGCCGCCGCCGCCGTCGTCGTCGTCGTCGTGGTCGTCGTCGTCGTCGTCGTCGTCGTCGTCGTCGTCGTCCTCCTCTTTCAGGGTCGACGGCACCAGCCGAAAAGGTTTTCGCAATCTTCAAAGTTCCACGCGTATCTGATATGCACACGCGCACACATACACACATACACATAAACACAGATCTCTCTCTCTATATATATATACACATACACTAGACTGCATTGGCGCTGCGCGCCATGCACCTTGGTCCTTTGTGTTCTGAACGCAAGCGGAATGCGTGCGTGCGTACATGCGCGCATGCATGTGTACACGCGCACGTGCATGCACGTTCCGTATACATGTCTAGGTGTATGCAATATACTTACATTGTTGTATGTGTGTATACAGCGTACATATGTACATATAAATTTATGTGTAAGGGTATGGACATGCATATGCAACTCGTGCGGGGGCATCCTCGGGCATATTCGCTGCATGCCACGAGACCCTCAACGACTGGGTCACAATGTGAAATGTCATGGGGGCAGAATCAATGAATGTTGGCATTCGGAAACATCGTGGGGGTGTTTTCGGGGCCCTCGTGGGTTGTTGGCGCCTTCATGGGCCGTCCTGGGGCCTTCTAGGGCCGTCTTGGGGAGCTTGGGCCCGCTGGAGCCCCCTTTGGACCCATTTTGGGCACTTCCGGGGACCTCCCATGGCCCTTTTGGGTCTGTGCTGGGAGCCCTTGGGGGGCCTCTTGATTCCATTATGGGCTGGCCCGGCTCGGCCGTCTTGAAGCTGTCTTGGGGGCCTTTGGGAGCGTCTTGAGGCGATCTCGGGGGCTTTGACACCGTCTTGTAAGCTGATGAAATCCGAAAGGCGAATATGCTGAAATTGTAAGTTTTACGCAGGGAATGGGACGATTTTTGTGGTTTGAAGGCCCTTTGGGAAGCTTTTTGGGGTGCCTTGGGGGTCTTTATGTTGGCATTCGGAAACATCGTGGGGGTGTTTTCGGGGCCCTCGTGGGTCGTTTTGGCGCCTTCATGGGCCGTCCTGGGGCCTTCTAGGGCCGTCTTGGGGAGCTTGGGCCCGCTGGAGCCCCCTTTGGACCCATTTTGGGCACTTCCGGGGACCTCCCATGGCCCTTTTGGGTCTGTGCTGGGAGCCCTTGGGGGGCCTCTTGGTTCCATTCTGGGCTGTCTTGGGGCTCTCGTGGGGCCCGGCTCGGCCGTCTTGAAGCTGTCTTGGGGGCCTTGTGGGGCGTCTTGAGGCGATCTCGGGGGCTGTGAAACCGTCTTGAAAGCTGAGGGAATCCGAAAGGCGAATATGCTGAAATTGTAAGTTTTACGCAGGGAATGGGACGATTTTTGTGGTTTGAAGGCCCTTTGGGAAGCTTTTTGGGGTGCCTTGGGGGTCTTTATGTTGGCATTCGGAAACATCGTGGGGTTTTTTTCGGGGCCCTCGTGGGCCGTTTTGGCGCCTTCATGGGCCGTCCTGGGGCCTTCTAGGGCCGTCTTGGGGAGCTTGGGCCCGCTGGAGCCCCCTTTGGACCCATTTTGGGCACTTCCGGGGACCTCCCATGGCCCTTTTGGGTCTGTGCTGGGAGCCCTTGGGGGGCCTCTTGGTTCCATTTGGGCTGTCTTGGGGCTCTCGTGGGCGATCGTGGGGCCCGGCTCGGCCGTCTTGAAGCTTTCTTGGGGGCCTTTTGGGGCGTCTGGAGGCGATCTCGGGGGCTTTGAAACTGTCTTGTAAGCTGATGGAATCCGAAAGGCGAATATTCTAAAATTGTAAGTATTACGGAGGGAATGGGGCGATTTTTGTGCTTTGAAGGCCCAAAGGAAAGCTTTTTGGGGTGCCTTGGGGGTCTTTTGGGCCGTCCTGACGCAATTGGAG